TCAGAAAGATTATTTCCAACAGCCTGTTGCAGACCTTCATCAACCAACAACTAACTGTCTTCGCTGGCTCTATACTGAAGATCAGATGACCGGGCGCGGGCGGGAAAGAATCACCAACAAGAACACTATGGGAACAAACAAACAAAACAAGAACCAATCGCCAACCAACAAATATGCAGGAGAAAGTTGAGATGGATCGGACACTCGCTCGCTGAGGAGGCCACTGGGTGGCATCGCGCGCGCGTCAGTCCATTGTTCGAGTAGAACCCGAAAGGGAAGAGGCGAGTGGGACATCAGTGCAAGGGTGACATGGAGGAGATGGTGTGAAGAGAGAGGAGTTGAAACAGTATGGACTAACATGGATGGATGCAGGTGAAAAGTACAGCAGAAGGAAGACAGAAGCAAGTGGAGGCGTGCAGTTGAAGCCTTATGTTCCACTAGGAACCCAAGGGAGCAATAATAATAATAATTGGGATAACTATTGGGATTTGTTTAAAGATTATATTCATAAAAGGTGGTGATTTCTAAAAATTAAGATGTTTGAGTGAATTTATCATTACCTGTCTCCTAAGGTTTGATACTCACCTAGGTTACTCACCACAACTCCTAAGCTTGGAAAAAAAGGGAACGTTGCTCATGGGCTAGCATCTTACTCCGGGAAATTTAATCCAGTCACTATAGAAACTACAACACACAGGGAAAAAACATCAAAAATAAACTTATTTTTCACTGGAATTGTAAATACAGAATGATATGGCTGATGAAAGACTTCGTGAAGCCAGTTGGCTGATGTTTCTTTTTTCAGTGAAAGCGGAAACACGCACGACGACATGGAATACTCTGCACAATATTTGAAGCTAAGAAAACTATACCAATTACCAAAGAGCTGAGAAGATACTCTATAAAAGTGCTCAAAATCTATGAGAGCAGATGAAATGGAAAAGGATTCCCTGAATCGCTAACTGGGAGAATCAGTAGTCTACTCTGGTCACCCAGACGACAACCACATACACACTGAGGTTGAAGCTCTATGTTCCACTCGGAACCTAAGGGAATAATGATAATAATATTGTGAAGACCAGTGCCCACAGAAGTGACACTGTAGGGAAAACACGCATAAGTTAATGTAGAAATACTGAAAACTTATATATGTCCAAACCAAATTCACTTTTAACGGTTTGAAAAATTTGGGCATTGGGTATATGATATTCATTATAATAAAGGTTTTTGTATTTCCCAATGAATGAAAAACAAAACGATATTGTTTTTGCTGACGTTCGCTATTTAATGCCTCTAATAGCTTTCTCAAAGTATTATTAAACCGGAAATTACAAAATCTCAGCATATATAAACAAAGAGTTATAGGGTGAGAGAATAGACTACTTAGGTCAAGTTAAAAGGACATATTGAAAGTCAAAATAACAATGAAGATCACTAAACCAAATATCAAAGGTAATAGTATATCTGTTATGATATCAAAACAAAGTTTACCAACTTGATCATCGTTCGTCAGTCTGGGGTCATTTTCCATTGTCAAGTTGACCAATTGGTAAAGATAACAAAATCAAGTGTAGATTGTTGGATTTTATCAGTGTGTAAAATTATGAGAGTAGTGTGTGTTTACCTAGTGAAGTGCTTATCACATTTGTATTGATTTTGCTACTTCATGGGGGAGGGAGGTGTTGTAACCAGTCAGATTCTGTTTTACTCCATCATTCCTATTCAGGTAATTTGGATTCCACTTGATATGAAGTGCTTCTGATGATATGAGACGTTCTTTGTGATTTCTGAAGTTTTTCTTGATGATGATTTCACTATTGTCAAAATCAATTTTGTGGCCTGATTCTATAGCCTAGCATGTAGACCGACCAATGGCTGATGATTTGGGAAATACAAAAAGCTTTATTATACTGAAAACTTAGTTACGGTAAAGAGTGTTGATTCATAGAAAGTATGTAAAATTTCCCACAGATACATGACAATGCGTAGATGAAGTCTGGCAAATAGCTCAGTGAAACAAATAATAATGAGAGGTAGTCCATCGAGGGATTAATTATCTAGACCCAATACGAACTGAAGGAACGACTATATGCATGCAACTGACAGCATCTTGCCATAGTAGACGCCACTGCTATTGGGAGAAGAGCATAGTATCATTGTATAGGGGAAGAGAACAGCTGTTCAAAGGGTTTCTGGCTGCATCTTCTTCCCATACCCAAGGAGAACTCTGAACTATATGTACAAAAGCCTTTGGTTCATTCCTTTTTACTGCTGTGACCTTAAAACTTTTTTTTGAATGGTATAATAATTTTGTATGTAATCTATATTCATTCGTTTTGTTTAAAACTCCTAAAACACTTTAAAAAAAGTACTTACTACATATTTGAATTTCTTATTCTTATGAACAGTAATCCTGTTTTGAAATGTTTAAAATTTTAATATTAATCACTTAGGAACACTATTTGCTTTGGTGGTTCGGCGACAGAATGTTCGCCAAGCGTGTGTGTGGCTTGGGGTTCGATTCCTGGTTGATGCACTCCTAAACCTCTCCCACCTAGCCACTAGTAAACCCAATAAAGAAAGAAGGATAGGAGCGAGGCTAGCAACCCTACCTTTTTAAAAATTTATAACACTACTGCTATTGAAACTTCAAAGCTCACAGATTGAAGCCCCATGTTCCGCTTTGAACGCAACGGAATAAAAATCGAAACATCATCCACCACATAAGATCGTCTAACCAGGTTTCACAATTGACCAGTTTCCTTCCTGGCATACACTTCAATTTGGTTTGATACCAATCGGCATTAATAATTGACCTTTATTGGCATTTTCAATAACGTTTCAGAAACACTATTTAACTGTACAGCTTTGATAAGGACATACGAAAAGAATATTCTTTTTTGACCCATATCTTTTCAAGTATATTTCATGTTCTATTCAGTTATCTGGCGATAATGGATATTTTAAATATCCTTAGATTAAAGTACTTTACATTCATTTGGGTTTAGTGGCTTTCAGTTAAATAAAGACTAACGTATCTTATTCTTTGATTTTATCTTGAAGTCGACAAAATAAAATCTGTCATCACCTTTTTTATTTTACGCGTTGGTTGTTTCATGGAAGAATATTCTCCAGTCACGCACTAAAGGTTGGGATTCAATTCCCATCCAATGTACTCCTCAGCCTCGCCTAATTCACTGACCGATAGTAAGGCTGGAGAGTTTGGGTCTGAGGCTATTGAAATCCTATCTCATAGGAAAATAAGACCAGTACTACTCTAACTTCGGAGCTTAAAAGTCCTATATTCCACTTGGAGTGCAAGGAATAAAAATAAAGTCTGTCATATTCATAGTTTATGATATCTTAAGGTTTTGTATTAATCCCCACCGATAGCTGCTACCTTGACGCGGTGGTTGGGCTTGCATATCTCAATGACCCAAAGAGCTATACTTGCTGGAACTAACATTCGTAGGTATCTTACCATGCTAGAAAGATTGTGAAGATAGCTATTAGACCAGAAGCAGTTGCCGGCGTAGTGTAAAATGTTTACACTATACTGGGGAACAGAGGTGTAGTAGCAGCAAAGTGTTTTTCTCAGATGACCAGTATGCCAGCTATGCTACCTCGCCACTTTGGAGGTGGTTGGAGGATAGGAATAGTTCGACCCCGAAAGTCTTACATCTTTACTTACCCTTCGGCGATCCGTAGTCGGCGGCAAGTTGCCAGTACCGATGCGTCTCTAAAAAGTCAGTTCAAACAGGCTGTATGTGATCGGGCTCAAACTGTTATCCCATGGGCTCTGCAGTCACGCAACACCAATTCTCTCTCTGTTTCAGGCACCCCAAGAAAAAATCAACTTCTACGGTGTGGACGGTCGGGAAGCAACGACCACCCACGCATATTAGCAATATTAGCATATTTCATTTTAAGATGGCTTTACAAAGGTTGAAAACGATCTCCCCTCAGCTCTATTTTGGAACTCCTGATCGACTCTGAACACACCAAGGGCACCCGCTGGCTAACTTCAGGGTTATCTATAAAGTACACAGAAATCTTATCAAAGGAGGTGTACGAATCAAACTTCTTCAAACAGCAGAAGCTGTGACAAATCTTGAACTCTATATAAAGAAGACGTTTATTCAATCACTGAACTTACAGGGAACTTAATTTGTCTTAATACTTTTAACATAATTGTTGTTTATCTTAATATTTCATTTCATGCAACATTTCGGTCAAGAACTCATGTCCCCGACATAATTCAGTCCCACCAGATAAAGGACCAGATGCATGACACTAGTTTCTACCTAGTCTCTAATGAAAGTATCCAATACATTCCTAGAGGAGGTCGATCGTGAGCCCGTAAAGTTTAGTGGTGATATCTTTGACTGTAACACTCACTGAGAGACACAGCTTCAAATCCCAGAAGGAAATCGACTTTCTTCAGGATTGCAGATACACCTTGCTTAATGAACTATTGAGTGCCAACAAGCACTAAATCTAGGTTCAAGGCTTCCTACCGATTACCTTCCACCATCTACTAACAACAACTGAGAATGCAGTGCGTCGGTGGCGCAGTGGTTAGGACTCCGGCTACCATGCACATGGTGCGGAGTTCGATCCCCTGCCGACGCACACCCGATATCTATGGTCGACCTGCAAAATTTGGGCTATCGATATCACATGCTGAAAATTCCATATTTGTACCGAAAATACGGTGTGGCATCAAGCTGTAGTGAAAAAAAATAAAAATAAAATGAAATGATGGCGAGCCAGTTAGGGTAATGGGCACATTGTAAACTTGACTGACGCATGGCGTTAGTTACCAACTAGTGGTCAATAAAAGGGGATAAGTCTATGCATGAAACTAGACGGGAATTTAGTAGTAGCCTAGTGTTTTAAACAGACCGCTTGAGATATATATGCAACAATACTAATCATAAGATAACTAACTGTGTTCTTCTTCTCTTTTTTTTATTTTTCTATATTTTTTAAAATTTTAGTTTTCAACTCCACAAGCTAGACGAATTTCAAAAATTAATCCATCAAATCTACGTGTTACAATCACATCTAGTTTAGGTAAACGTGGTCGTAAACGATCAAGACATCGACGTCGAGCTTCATCGGCATCACCATCAAGAGATTTTCTTCTATCCACTGGCTCTGAAGATGAAGAAACCGATGATATACCTGAATTAAGCGATTTCAGTCATCAATCGCACAATGTTGTACAAGTACAACAATAAGAAGATGCATAGACAGATAAAGTTGGTTTACAATTATGCAATCCAAGGGATTTTGGTGAAACCTACAACGCATACTCACACATACACACATAAACACAAACTTCGTTGATTAGCGCGTTGAAAATCGTTAATCACTTTATGAATGCTGTGACTTTATTATTCTTATTATTACTGTTTCAAAACAATTCAAGAAAACCATATGTCTTTCAAGCTTTTATGTGCATTGAAAAAAACAGATCAATTTATTCAATGAAAAGTACTCACTTCTAGATGTCCCATCTGCTTACCTGCCCACCTACCTACCTACCTACCTGTCTGCCTGCCTGCCTGCCTTTTGAGATGACATATCTCCCTCCCTTTAATTATTTCATTGCCTATACAATGAATTGTTATCTTTTTTCCTTGTTTACTTTACCTCGTTTTGTTTGTTCTCTAGGTGTACTTAGTTAATTAATTATGTAAAAAATACTTTTCCCCGCCTCCCCCGGTCCTCCACATGTAGCGTGGGGTGGGGGGCTAGGAGTAGGTGGTGGATGGGTCGGAGTACGTACTAATTTTTCACCCATGATTGTTATTATTATTATTATTCTCATCATCACAAGCCAACATACTTATAGCTATGCATTCACTTAAATCTATTCACTGTGTGTGTGTGTTAATAATGTCCACTTTCTAGGTGAAGTTATCTTGTCCAATCAGAATAGCTTTTGATCGCGTGACTTATGCAACAACAACAACAACAACACCAATAAAATAAAAACGAATATATATATACATATGTAAACCTCCACATATGCTGTTAATTTCCTTTAAACATTTTCTAAAATATTCATTATGATATTATTGATTAGCAAACAAAGGTAACAGAGCAGGATTATACTATCGAAAATTACCAAACATAAAGAATAAAGAAGTAAATATAAGTGGACTTGCGAGGCAATTCATGTTCTGTGATAAAAATGAAATTAACTGAGTTGTTGAACACGTTGAAAAGATGATTACACTATGTATTCATATATACACATATATTATTATTATTATTATTATAATGTAAAATTTCGCATAAAACCAACCCATTATTATTATTATTTTTAATAAACTCTTCAGCTTGAGTGATTTGTGTCTTTCATCAACTTTTCAAAGATGGTGGAGTGGCAGGAGAACCAATTACAAAATCATCCTAAAATCCTTTTTTTTTCCGGGCTTCGATACACGCCACGTCGTCTGCTTTTGTGCCATTCTTCCAACCCCTAATCCACCACCCACCCCACCCTGCCTCCCCAGGCCACCACTCCTTAGTTCAATTCATAAATATAAATATAAAATAAACAATTTACACAAAAGTGTGTTGATATGATATGAGAAAAAGACAACGCCTTTTTGTAAACCTTTTTAATTACACACCCTTCCTTCTCCTCTGTCTTTACCGATCCAACTTTGTATTCATTAAATTGTTCTTACTTACTTATACACACTTTTACTCACACTTGAAAGATTATTCACTCCTGCTTTTATGATGAAACAAGAAATAATATTAATAATAAATGCAATATTTTCTTCTTAATCTCATGAAATTGTTTCTTTTAAAAACTTCTTGTCTATTTTTGATTATTGATCATAATTTAGAAAAGTGATAAATGAATATGCCTAAACTGAAACTATCTACTACTACTACAACTGATTGATTGAGATGTGTAGTGCTTGTCAGGCAGATCGGAAGACCGAGCTCGTCACTGGTGTGTTTGTGTTTGTGTGTGTGTGGTTCGCCTCAGCTTGACTTCCCACCCAATTGGCTGGATGGTGGAGAGAGCTAGGTTTCCTAACCTGAAGTCTCAGGGGTCGATCTCTGGTGTTGGGGTCGTGGATGCGCACAAATGGAAAGTCCCAAAATAGGATGAAGCAGCTGTCCAGTCTATGATCTGTCTAACTGATGTTGGTTCGTGATGAAAATTTAACAATTGAAACTAACTTTTAAGAGTTAGTTTGTAAGGATTAGATTTGTTTTGACGAGTTTGACCATGGATTGATATCACTTAACAGAGAAGTCGTGACCAGTGAGGTCCAACCTGTCAAGTGTAAGTATAGATTACCCACCTATGACATTGGTTGGTAGTCGCGGTAAATCACGAATTGGTAGAAGTTAGAATTCTTGGGATAGCAATTGAATCGGGTCCTGGGTTCAAACCCGTTAGTGGGTGCGTACTGTCGATGATTCCCGAAACTAGGATGAAACAGCTTTCCAGTACTCCCTGGTTCTCAATGGTTTTCTAACTGAAATCTTAGGGCGATGAGTATGTTCAAACCACCTGAGTTTTAGTTAGCTATTTGGGCAAATTGGTGATACGATAAATCAGATTCACAATTTGTAAATTTATTTAGAATTTGTACCGTTCAAGGAAGTGAATTTTGTCATAGTTTCTTTCGCATCTGGTTGGCAAACACCACTGGCTGATATGAATGGTGTACAACAAACTACTTATCTCAGTCAATCAGTAGTATGTAGTTTTATACACTTACGCTTGGTTTTATGAGCACTGATTATGGTATCAAGCAGATGACATATATTGTGTATGTGTGTGTGTGTGTGTGTGAGTGCGATCTGAATAATTTCGTTTGAAAAAGAAACAATGGTAAATTGACGACCTTGAACAGTGTAAATTACTAATTAATTAATTAATTTTCAATATTGCGAATTTGATGAATAGAGAGTAATGTTTACTGATGACGTTTCGAGCACAATTTATTCCTCATAATCATATCAAGGTAATCACAGGATCTCGTAACTTCATTTATATAGTTCCATTATTTTTCACTTGATTTAAGTTTGATTGGTAGTAGTATTTTCCATATTTCAGGTATGAGTGATGACTCATTCCTATTGCATGTGTTTGGTGTAGACTCGATGAACAAGGATTCAGCAATCAACCTCTCTCTCCACCTACCTAGATTACTTTGAAGAATTTTAACCCTCTCCCACCCACCCTATTGTGTGGCTGTTTGTTAATGCGTGAAGTGCAATTGCTGAGCTTTTTTCTAAATTACTTATCTTCTCAGGGTCACCATTCTTACCTTAGCTAGATTCTTATGTTCCGACAATCTAACTACTCCCGACCTACTAGTTTGACCTATGTAGGTGACTTAACTTATAGTCATCGTAGGGCATTTTGTAAATTATATTCTTCTGTCTAATTGGGTCAATTGGGTCCTTTAACCTACGTAGGATTCTTAATAAAGCAGGAATTAGGGTGGCATTTAAACCTACAAACTCACTCAAGGACAAGCTCTGTAGGTTAAAGGACCCAGTTGACCCAATTACACAAAATAATATAATTTACAAAATACTTTGCAATGACTGTGAGTTAAGTCAGCAAGATAGGTTAAACTAGTAGGTCGGGAGTGATCAGATTGTCAGAACATCCGAATTTAGCTAAGGTAAGAATGGTTGACCCCGAGAAGATAAGTAATTTAGAAAAAAGCTCAGCAATTGCACTTCACGCATTAACAAACAGCCACACAATAGGGTGGGTGGGAGAGGGTTAAAATTCTAAAAAGTGATCTATGTAGGTGGAGAGAGAGGTTGATTACTGAATCCTTGTTCATCGAGTCTACACCAAACACATGCAATAGGAATGAGTCATCACTCATACCTGAAATATGGAAAATACTACTACCAATCAAACTTAAATCAAGTGAAAAATAATGGAACTATATAAATGAAGTTACGAGATCCTGTGATTACCTTGATATGATTATGAGGAATAAATTGTGCTCGAAACGTCATCAGTAAACATTACTGTATAACACTGTGAGACTTTATCAAAACAAAATTTACCCATAATGGAATTACACTCTACCACAGGGCACAAGTTTTATTCTTATATCATTGATGAATATGCCTATTGCACCGAAAACACATTAACGCATTTCGCTGATTTGGTTTGTTAGTGTAGTTTGTAGTAATGAGTTATCCAGATAACCCCTGTACCAATCACCGTAGTATTTCTTTCACTCTTTTATATTTCTAGTGGCAAGTAAACTAGATAAGGTTTAGGAGTGCGTCGATGGCTGAAAATTGTATGCGGGTCATCTGTGTGCCTGGCGAGCATTCCAGCGACGCAGAATCTTTGTGTTTTGCCATAATTTAAGCATAGAAAAACAGAATACAGTTAATAAAAAAATATTGATATTGAGGATATCTCCGGGGGAGGGGGACTGGGAATGTTAACATAAATTGAGAATGGAAACAATATTCATCGGGGGTGTTGACCACTCTTCACTTATTTAGAAGTTAAATCCCCCGTAATAGACTAATTGCTGACACAATATCAACTCGGCTATAAAATGCTGGTCTGGCAGTCGCCAACTTGCTCCATCTTCAACATAGACGTGATATACGGTTATAGATCAAAGGATATTCATATAGTGCTCAGCAACTTGCTCCTTTCTTTTTCAGGACAGTAAAATATATCGGTGGAAAGTGGAGGATAAGAGGAGGCTGACGGCCTTTGATCATGGATTTCTGTGCATGATCTGTCGTGTTAGGAGCAATTATGGTGAATAATAATGAGGTGGGAAAGTCATTTGGTGAACTTGTGAAGCACTGTCATTTGAAATGGTGAGAACAAGTGCTTAGCATACCAAAACATTACCTTGTTAAGCAATGCAACTAATATAAGATTATACTGGAGAAGAGTTACAGTTGTTCAAACCGAAACATGACATCAATCTATGAATTCTTCGACCGTTGGTTTAAGCCCCATAGGAAGGTGTATACTGGCTGACTTGGGTTCACGAGACTCTAATAATCAATGACTGAAGACCGTTGGTAATATGTAGCTCTAAATCATTCTCAGTAGCGCAGATGCATTCAACTTTCTGTGATCTCCCGGATCTTTTAGCCTCTCACTATTCCCCATGTAATTATTCTTCCTGTATATTCCCTCTTTTTATAGTTTCTCTGAATTTTTCAACCTTTATGTGTGCTTTAAATGAAACGCGGC